CACTTATCTTTGGCCCAGAAACTATCCTCCATTTTCAGTCCAAAACTCTCCAGCCACAGTCAGTGGCAGGAATTAAAGATAGGACATACCAGGGTCACTGGGACTGGCACTACAGAACTAGATGCAATGTCATGCAGTCAAGAGGAGTCAAATTTCTTCCACTTCCTTATTGTAAAGAACTCTCAACGCACTAATGGCTTATCTCCAGTGAATGTTAGAATAAACATACAGAGAGTCCATAAGTCCCAATAAAGTCCGTAACTGTATATTCACTTTTAGGTGGCAGCCATCCCAGAGTGAGCCAACTCTATGTACATGGTAGGAAAGAAAAAGAGGAGAGGCGCCTTCCAATTGCAGCATTCTGGACCCCTTCCACTACCTACAGTGGCCATCATCCCACTGGACAGACCCTTGCAGGACACAGATGATGGCTTTACTGCAAATTACACTGATGGGCTCATTTATAACCTCAATTTTGTGTTTTTATATTTGTGGCTTATTAAATCTTTTTTCATACTGCACTTAGAAGGCGCCTCTTCTTTTTTCTTTCCTGCCTTCCACTTCCTGGGTCCAAACTATTCTCCAAAATGCATTTCCAGGAGTAATCTTCTAGGTAAACCTGGCTTACTAGATAGTCCATGATCTTTTTTTAAGCAGTCTGATGGGGCAGATATTACTGCAAAGAACATACTTGTTTAAAAAAATTACACAGGACCGGACCCAGTGTAAGAGCAGGTCCTGTAGGCCAATCCCTGCATACCTGGCATGTCTCAGACGTAACCCATGCCACTTGCAATGGTGGGGCGTTATAGACCTTAAATGGAGAACAACTTTTAGTTTACAAATAAGTGGAGGAACTGTGTCAAAACTCCTCTAACCACCAAAAACACAGTTATAGACACAAAGTAGATTAAGAGATACAATGCATCTCCACAGCGTGTAATGAACACAATCAAGTTTATTAAAGAAACCTTCCAGAATGACCGTAAATCCTGCTTTGAATCTACACAGCTGTAAATGAATCAGTTGTAAATAGCTAGTTGGATAACATAAAATCCATTAACCTGGAATGTCTTTTACTCTAGGCCTGACAATAGGGGTTGTCAAATGCATATATGGCATATAATTCCACAATACACGTTTCAGAGTCTGCTTTTCTTCTTTTTGAACCTCCTTGAGGCTTAACTTCCAAAAACCTAAACATACACAACATTCATAGCTCGTGATATAATAAAATTACATTAATAATGAACATCTGCTTGAATGTATAAGAGAATTCCGATCATTTTGAGGTCAAACACCACTGCAAGATGCAGGAGGTAGATTAGACACATTCCATCTGCTAAGCAGAATCAGCATCAAATCACATTCATGTTTGGTATCTACTAAATGGCTATTTCATTCTCTGCAGTACAATGTTGGTTATCAGAGTGTAACATGTATTCATATGAACATATAGATACATTTAGAAATCTGGTCTGGAGGGAGGGTCTGCCGAACACATTAGTGCTTTAACGCTCCTTTCTTCCACCCTTGGCTGTGTCATTTTTGAACCCCCCCCCCCAACCCCCAAGGATCCAACAAAGCTTTTACAAAATAAATTTGAACTTTCAATTTTCATCAAACTTCTGCACAAATTCTGAGTCAGGTCTGAAGGCCTGTTGCACACTTGTTATTGTATTTTCATTAAACAGTAACTAAAAGTCATTATGCCTTATCTATAAATGCTTTAAACCGGACCTTAAAGTCTAAGTTCACCTTTTGTAAAAATAAATAATTAAATAATTAAATGCACATTTTGCAACAAAAAATGTGCATTTATTATTATTTTTATTTATTATTTTTTTACATTGCATCCTATGAAGCATTGCATCCATGATCAATAGATCACGGGTGCAATGCCTGGATCCTACAGATATGGACAAGCAGTTACTGAAAAGCAGAAAGAATCAATGAACTACAAGTGCACTCATCAGCGTCTTCACAGTTCATTGAGAACTACAAGCCATCAGTCACAATGACTGTAAATACTTGTAAGCTATTCATTCATTCACAGTATTCAAAAGTATAATGCTGCCATGTGGGTGGAGCCCTGCATGGCCATTCTGTTTTCAAATTGTGACAGTAGATGTGGGGAAAAGATCTAAGTCACAAAGAGCATGTCCAGGACGTTTTTTCTGTGGGAATGCGGGGGAACACAATTCCGGCACCTCCAGCACTGAATGTATGTAATGGCAAGGAGTGCTGGGGTGTGCCGAAGGATCTATTGTTGCTGGCTGCTGGCTGGTTTATTGTGGCTGAAGGATATCTATTTTGTTGTGGTGGTCTATTGTTGCTGGCGGGGATCTATTGTTGAAGGGGTTAATAGTTGCTGGAAGCGATCAACTGTTGAGGGAGTGGTCTATTGTCAACTGTTGCTGGCTGCTGGAGAATATATTGATGCTGGCCACTGGGAGATCTGTTGTAGTTGCTGAGGGTCTATTGTTGCTTGGATGGGATTTTGTTTTTGGGGTCCATTGTTGCTGGAGGAATCTATTATTGCTGGATGCAGGGGGATCTATTTGTTTGCTTTTCTTGTTATCACTAACAAATTCCATACAAATGATTTAGCACCACAAAATACTTGTCTCTGTATTCTCTAATAGGAGCAGTAATGGGAGGCAAATAAGGGGGTGGAAAAAAGTAGTGACTCAGAAGGGGAGATTTTCTGCTCCTATCTTTTGAGAAAAAAAGCCCTGCATGTTACACCCTAAATATGTGTGTAACATGCTGGTAAAGGTGAACTTATAATTTAAACAATGACTGTTTCTTCAAAGAATGCTACTATATTTTAATATATGTCATATTGCTGTCTAGCATGACAGCATGTATTGCAGATGATTCTTAAGATCATAATTGCTATAGCAGATACAGTGGACAGTGAGTGTTTCAGTTAAAATATGTGGTGGCCGCTATTGTGTGTGTAACATGTTAACTGTAAAGTTAACTGTTTCCCAGTGATGAAACACTGCTGGCACCTGGATTGTTGTCCTGTTAGTGAACAAATCTGTGTGCAGGCTGATGCTGAGAGTGCCATTATCACATACAAATGACAGCAATGAATTTTAGGACTGCCATCATCACACCAAGTTGCTCAGTAAAGATTCTCTAAAAATTTGAAATAACTACCTAAAAATGACAAACCTCAGTACATGGATGTAAGCCATGTAGGTCAGATGTTTTATGTACCTTATTCTTACTGTTTCTAGACCACATCCGTTTTGAGCCATTTTGGCTCATTTGTGGCTCTGGTAATACCATTCTTATTTTGTACATTAGCTCCATTGCTTTTCTTTAGCCATACAAGGTTAAAAAAGGTATTTGTTAGATTTGCTTTTTCTGTGTTCCCAGCATGCTCAGTCCTAGCCATTGTAACTTTTTTAGGGTTTGCCTTATATTTCTTCATAATGTTTATTGAAGTATCATTGTAAAATTACAATAATTTAAAAGAAGAGTATGGGATGTAGAAAAAAAAAAACATTGTACTCACCTAGGTGGATGCAGCAGCAATCCGATGCTGTATCTACATCCCTGCCGACTCTGCAAAGAGAGCTGAGTGATCCAACTCCACTAATCACTTAGTTCTTCCATACACTCTGAGCATAGAGCCTTGACTGTCAATCATGGATCTCTGCTCTGCCCCTCCAGTGCTCACTGGAGCACTGAGCTGTGGAGGGGTTGGCTCAGGCTTTTAGTGGATCTCTGTGGGGCAAAGTCAGATGCCAGACAAGGATTCTGGGTGAATATCAACCATATGTTCAGGATCTTTTCAGAGCCTGGATAGGCTCTGTGACATGAGCTGACATCAGGCTTCAACCCGCTGTTGGCTGAGGTGCAGAATTAACTGCACTCCTGTGATCCATAGAAGTAGTATATCCAAAAAGCTTTGGCTATACTTCTTCTTTAAGCATTGTGTTAAACACAAAGAGAAGACAGAATCATAGGACAAAATAGAAATAACCCTTCACTGTGAAATAGTGAAAGTCTACAGCGAGTCAAGCCTCGACAGAAGCCGATAAAAGGACATTGGTAAACAGAGGTCACCATGTTAACCAGAAACACAAGGTATGGTCCCTATTCTCACAAGGGGAATGATGGAAGGTGGGAGGTCTGTAGTTTCAAAGTTCAAAGGGAGGCAGCAGCGTGAACAGCCATGTAAAAACTAAGCGCAAAGTAAAAATGTAATTTAAAAAAAAAGGGGGTGGGGAGAGAGGAGGAGGGATTTAAGCATGGGAAGGAAGTAATTTGTAATGCAGCGGTTCTCAACCTGGGGGTCGCGACCCCTTTGGGGGTCGAACGAACGACGCTTCCACAGGGGTCGCCTAAGACCATCGGAAAACACATATTTCCGATGGTCTTAGGAACCGAGACACCGCTCCTCGCCGCCGCCACCGCCGTCTCCAGGTGTGGGCGGGATGACATGCCGCCCCTGTCATCTGGACACACCTTGAGATCAATCCTCGCCTGTGATTGGCCGCCGGCACTGTAGCTCAGGAGAGGCACACAGGCGGCCAATCACCGGCAAGGAGGTGGAGCTTGGAGAGGAGGAGCCGAGCGGCACCGCGAAGATCGAGATCGAGCGAGTGAAGAGGGAGGAGAGCGGCCGGAGAAGGAAGACATCTGACAGGTAAGTGTCGGTACCATGGGAGAGGGAGGGAGCGAGCGAGCCCAGGCTGGAGCAGGGGTCTGCAAGGTAAGTATCATTGGTGTCAGTGGGAATAGTGCCCCATCATTGGTGTCACTAATACCAATGATGGGGCACTATTCCTCCCACTGACACCAACGATGGGACACTATTCCTCCCACTGACACCAATGATGGGGCACTATTCCTCCCACTGACACCAACGATGGGGCACTATTCCTCCCCCAAATGACACCAACGATGGGGCACTATTCCTCCCCCACTGACACCAAGGATGGGGCACGATTCCTCCCCCCACTGACACCAAGGATGGGGCACTATTCCTCCCCCCACTGACACCAAGGATGGGGCACTATTCCTCCCCCTACTGACACCAAGGATGGGGCACTATTCCTCCCCCCACTGACACCAAGGATGGGGCACTATTCCTCCCCCCACTGACACCTATGATGGGGCACTATTCCTCCCCCCACTGACACCTATGATGGGGCACTATTCCCCCCACTGACACCTATGATGGGGCACTATTCCCCCCACTGACACCTATGATGGGGCACTATTCCCCCCACTGACACCTATGATGGGGCACTAATCCTCCCCCCACTGACACCAATGATGGGGCACTATTCCTCCTCCCACTGACACCAATGATGGGGCACTATTCCTCCCACTGACAGCAATGATGGGGCACTATTCCTCCCACTGACACCAATGATGGGGCACTATTCCTCCCACTGATACCGATGATGGGGCACTATTCCTCCCACTGACACCGATGATGGGGCACTATTCCTCCCACTGACACCGATGATGGGGCACTATTCCTCCCACTGACACCGATGATGGGGCACTATTCCTCCCACTGACACCGATGATGGGGCACTATTCCTCCCACTGACACCGATGATGGGGCACTATTCCTCCCACTGACACCGATGATGGGGCACTATTCCTCCCACTGATACCGATGACGGGGCACTATTCCTCACACTGATACCGATGACGAGGCACTATTCCTCCCACTGACACCAATGACGAGGCACTATTCCTCCCACTGACACCAATGACGGGGCACTATTCCTCCCACTGACACCAATGACGGAGCACTATTCCTCCCACTGACACCAATGATCGGGCACTATTCCTCCCACTGATACCAATGATGGGACACTATTCCTCCCACTGACACCAATGATGGGGCACTATTCCCCCCCACTGACACCAATGATGGGGCACTATTCCTCCCACTGATACCAATGATGAGGCACTATTCCTCCCACTGATACCAATGATGGGGCACTATTCCTCCCACTGACACCAATGATGGGACACTATTCCTCACACTGACACCAATGATGGGGCACTATTCCTCCCACTGATACCAATGACGGGGCACTATTCCTCCCACTGACACCAATGACGGGGCACTATTCCTCCCACTGACACCAATGATGGGGCACTATTCCTACCACTGACACCAATGACGGGGCACTATTCCTCCCACTGACACCAATGACGGGGCACTATTCCTCCCACTGACACCAATGACGGGGCACTATTCCTCCCACTGACACCAATGACGGGGCACTATTCCTCCCACTGACACCAATGACGGGGCACTATTCCTCCCACTGACACCAATGAAGGGGGCACTATTCCTCCCACTGACACCAATGACGGGGCACTATTCCTCCCACTGATACCAATGATGGGGCACTATTCCTCCCAATGACACCAATGACGTGGCACTATTCCTCCTACTGCAAAATTACAGTTATGAAGTAGCAACAAAAATAATTTTATGGTTGGGGGTCACCACAACATGAGGAACTGTATTAAGGGGTCGCGGCGCTAGAAAGGTTGAGAACCACTGTTGTAATGGGTAAGGTGGGGGGGGTGGGGGTGGAGGTGTGTTAGATAATAGAGATGGTTAGGGAACCTGAGTGTAAGAAGGACCACAAATATGTATGGAGGGAAGAGGTGAGGTAAATAACAGCTTGTCTGATCCACTGATATGGTCAGATGGCTGCTTTGGTGTCCCCCAGAAGTTATAAGCTGTGTTCATACTCCTGTTTTATACATGTTCCCTTTATTTAAGACATTGTGTCATGATGGTTTTGTATTCAGTAGTGGTTTGAAAATGACACCACCATGACCAGATTTTGCTATACTTGGAGATTCTATCTGAGAAGTTATGTATCCATTTTTGCTATCTTGTTCAAAATCAGGAACCATTCTTGTGGTCATGTGTAGGAATGCACATGGCTAGGGATTTAGGATAAGCACTTAGTTTGTTTGTTTGGCCTATGTAGTAAATATTGTATAGGCCAAAATTCTAGGGAGTAGCTATTGACTTTAGTAATAATTGCATTGACGTGTATAAAGTATTGTTGAACACTGGGACATGTCCACCAAATGTGAATTATATCCTTTTCCACAGTCCTGCACTTCCAGCAGTGATCTGATGTTTTGGGGTAAATTCTGTTAAGCAAGGATGGTGTCCTGTACCATTTTGAGAACATTTTATAGGTGTGTTCTTAAGTGTTAATTTTTAGTGAGTGAAAGACAAAACATCTGAGATGTGACTATTTGGTGATAGGAAGTGACGTCAGAGCAGCGGCGGGAAGTGAGGTCCAGGTGGATGGTTGAGACGCTTCTGGGGACACACAAGCCTTAAGCCTGTCTGAACTGATTTATGGATTTGTGATAGGTGCTTTATCTATTACTCTTGTGAGTGTGTTTATAAATGGGAATTTAGAAATAAATGTTATGTGTCAATGGGATTACTCTATGTGGACTGTTTTGTTTCCTCTCTTGAGTTTGTAGCCATTTAAGCTGTCCATTGCAGGATTATTGTCCATGGATTAAAGCATATTTTGGGATTGAGTGAATTAAATTATTTGTTGCTATTCATCTATATGAAAGGCAACTCCTTGCAGTGAGTGAGGTGTCTAAAGGAAATGCGGCTTACCTCACACTTTAGGGTGACGGCAACAATACATGTCAAGTGAATAATAAGAAATAGAAATTTGGACAGTCACATTTTGATGAGGACACTTTATTCATAATTTGCACTGTTTTAAAACCCAGTGGTAGAGTACTGTTGCCTTTTTTCCTTTTTTTCTGTTGTTTGGCTTTGGCTTTGTGCTGTATAGTGCTCCTAGCGTGATTTATATCTACTCTTTGTTTGCTTTATAGTGTTATGTGATATACAGGTGAAACACGAAAAATTAGAATATCGTGCAAAAGTTCATTTATTTCAGTAGTGCAACTTAAAAGGTGAAACTAATATATGAGATAGACTCATTGCATGCAAAGCAAGATAGTTCAAGCTGTGATTTGTCATAATTGTGATGATTATGGCTTACAGCTCATGAAAACCCCAAACCCCAGAAAATTAGAATATTGTGAAAAGGTGCAATATTCTAGGCTCAAAGTGTCCCGCTCTAATCAGCTAATTAAGCCATAACACCTGCAAAGGGTTCCTGGGCCTTTAAATGGTCTCTCAGTCTGATTCTGTAGTAATCACAATCATGAGAAAGACTGCTGACCTGACAGTTGTGCAGAAAACCATCATTGACACCCTCCATAAGGAGGGAAAGCCTCAAAAGGTAATTGCAAAAGAAGTTGGATGTTCCCAAAGTGCTGTATCAAAGCACATTAATAGAAAGTTATGTGGAAGGGAAAAGTGTGGAAGAAAAAGGTGCACAAGCAGCAGTGATGACCGCAGCCTGGAGAGGATTGACAGGAAAAGGCCATTCAAAAGTGTTGGGGACTTTCACAAGGAGTGGACTGAGGCTGGAGTCAGTGCATCAAGAGCCACCATACACAGACGGATCCTGAACATGGGCTTCAAATGTCATATTCCTCTTGCCATGCCGCTCCTGAACAACAAACAACGTCAGAAGCGTCTTACCTGGACTAAAGAAAAACAGACCTGGTCTGTTGCTCAGTGGTCCAAAGTCCTCTTTTCTGATGAGAGCAACTTTTGCATCCCATTTGGAAACCAAGGACCCAGAGTATGGAGGAAGAATGGAGAGGCACACACTGCAAGATGCTTGAAGTCCAGTCTGAAGTTTCCACAGTCTGTGTTGATTTGGGGAGCCATGTCATCTGCTGGTGTTGGTCCACTGTGCTTCATTAAGTCCAGGGTCAACGCAGCCATCTACCAGAAGATTTTGGAGCACTTCATGCTTCCTTCCGCAGACAAGCTTTATGGGGATGCTGAATTCATTTTCCAGCAGGACTTGGCACCTGCCCACACTGCCAAAAGCACCAAAACCTGGTTCAATGACCATGGGATTACTGTGCTTGATTGGTCAGCACACTCGCCTGGCATTGCCAAGAGAAAGATGAGAGACATGAGACTGAACAATGCAGAAGAGCTGAAGGCCGCTATTGAAGCATCCTGGTCTTCCATAACACCTCAGCAGTGCCACAGGCTGATAGCTTACATGCCACGCCGCATTGAGGCAGTAATTGCTGCAAAGGGGGCCCAAACCAAGTACTGAGTACATATGCATGCTTATACTTTTCAGAGGTCCGATATTGTTCTATGTACAATCCTTGTTTTATTGACTGCATGTAATATTCTAATTTTCTGAGATTGTGGATTTGGGGTTTTCATGAGCTGTAAGCCATAATCATCACAATTATGACAAATCACAGATTGAACTATCTTGCTTTGCATGTAATGAGTCTATCTCATATATTAGTTTCACCTTTTAAGTTGCATTACTGAAATAACTGAACTTTTGCACGATATTCTAATTTTTCGAGTTTCACCTGTATAGTAGCTGGCTGACAGCAAGTTTGATTCACTAATCCTCCTAGAACGCACGGTATAGTATTTTATACTTATTTTCACTATTCACCAGTGAATAAATGGCTACAAAGATTTTGCTCCAGTCTTACTTGACTGGCTCAACCCGTAGGTCAGTTTCCCACATTTTAGTTAATTTGTAGTCCTGTTCGGGAGATCACAAAAGAATAAGCTATAGATAGTAAATATCAAATGATGGGGGAATTTGCGGTGCAGAGCTTCTCAAAAGGTGTAGAATGGTTAAAAAAAAAAAAATTTCAAAATTGTAAGTAGGCCCAGAATATGAAATGGTGCAAGGAAGTCAACCTAGTCTGGTTGTGGAATTTTTCATTGTCAAAAACAGTGAATAGCTAATATCAATCCATTTAAACTCCCTTCATTAGGGACATCTGGATTGTATAAAAAGGGTGTCAGTGGGTTGGGAATTTAGAATATGGACAATGTATTATATAATGCCCCAAAACAGCAAAATATCACCCCAATGTGTGGATGAGTGTCCAGGTCTCTATAATGCCCTTTAGCAATGATCCAAGTGCTGGCTTCTAGAGAGCCACACATAAGGTATTAGTCCAGGGATATCTAGTCTTTCAGGTCTTGGTGGATATGCCAGTACACCTGTCTAGTTAAGTGACATGCCTTGTAATTTGAAGGCCAATCCCTCCTTTATGTTTAGGAAGGGAAAAAGTGTTAAGGCTAATCCTGGGAGTGGTGTTTCTCCTTATATATGCAGCTTATGCAGAGATATGAAAAATGAGGGAGGTATTTTGATTGAAATTGCTTGCAGTAGGTACAGCAGACTGGGCAGGACATTCATTTTTAAGATCAAAGCTTTTACA